CAGCTTAAGCTATATCTATTATAATCAATTGGCTAAGTACTTTTCAAAACCTTGTTTACAATTCTTTTAAAAAAAATCTTTTTGATTTAACAAAAAGGGGGATAAATATGTTAAAAGTGAGAAGTGTTAGAGTAAGGGGGAGTAATTTCAAACTTGATTTCAAAATCTTAAAATTACTAAAATGTTTTGTTATATCAAAAAGGGGGAGATTGTTGAAAACATTTTGATATTTCGATATAACAAATTAAGTTAAATGAATTTTAAGATTTTCCAAAAAGATTTTCTAAGTATATTCGATATAATTATTCGAATATCAAAATATTACTCCAAATCATTCAAATGTCATTTTTAATCCTTAATCAAGTGTAAAATTAAGTTTTAATCTTAAAATAATTTCAAAACAATTTTACAAAATATTTTGAACTATTTCAAAGCCAAAAATTCCAGATTGCTTAGAGGGAACCGATTCCCCCCTGAATGGTTTGGCTCCAAGAAAAACAGAATGCTCGGAGGGAATCGATTCCCCCCCAAGGGGGTACCGATTCCCCCTGTTTAACGGTCGAAATATTTGAATTTTACACTTAGGGAACCGATTCCCGATGAGGGGGAACTGATTCCCCCCACTCTCCAAGCAGAAATATTAATTGTTTTCACACTTAAACGGCTCCAATAACTTCATTAATGATCCCCAACGTTCAGAAGTGATTCAAGGTGTATTTAAACAAGCTCAGAAGCCATTGATCAATAACTAGAATCAAGAGAGAATCAAAGAGAAAGCATCAAACCTCAAGTTTAAGCATTTCAAGCCTATTTTTCATTCAATATTTATTTTGCTTTCAAGAACACTACTTGTACTCAATTGTATTCATTCTTGAGTGTTCTTTTCTTTGTTCTAGAATTGTGCAAACAATCTACCTTGTGAAGATTTCCTTGTAAGTTTGCAAATTTGTATTGTTCTCTTTGGGAGAGAGTGTTCTCAAGAATTTGGGGTATAATTCTTTAGGGTTTGTAAGGTTACTCTTTATCCTCAAAAGAAAGACAAATTAGTGAATTTGTGGAAAATCCTTAGTGTGGATAGCTAAGGTAGTGGACTTAGACTTTGGTTGAGAAAGTCGAACCACTCTAAATCGTTGTGCAATTACTTTCAATTTTCTGCAAAAGCTTCCACCAAATTTTTAATTGCCAATTCACCCCCCTCTTGGCCGATTCCGTCAATCGATTAACTCAACAATGTTGATGATTTGTTGATCACTGGCAATGATAATTGTTTGATTGATGATTTGAAGAATCTTTTAAACAAGAAGTTTAAAATGAAACATCTTGGTGAATTGGAGTATTTTTTGGGTCTTGAGATTATGAGATCAAAAGAAGGGATTTTAGTTAATCAGCGCAAATATGCTCTTGAGTTGATTGAGGAAACAAGAGTGAGTGGTTCAAAACCAGCAAAAACACCCCTTGAACAGAACATTAGGTTTACTACTATAGAATATGATAAGCTATGCACAACATGGAATAATGAAGTTGATGAATTGTTAGCTGACAAGAGTGTTTATCAGATGCTTATTGGAAGACTCATTTACCTCACACATACCAGACCTGATATAACCTTTGTTGTACATCACTTGAGCCAATTTATGCAACAGCCTAAGGAATCTCATTTGCTTTATGCTTTTAGAATAGTGAGGTACATTAAAAAGAATCCATGTCAAGGGATATTGATGGGTTCGAACAGCAGTAGTGAACTTGAAGCATACTGTGATTCAGATTGGGTTGCGTGTCTTATCACAAGAAGGCTTGTCTCTGGTTTTTGCATCAAGTTTGGAAATTCACTGATTTCATGGAAATGTAAGAAGCAAAATATCATAGCCAGATCATCTACTGAAGCAGAATATAGAAGCATGGTTGTTACATCAGCAGAATTGACTTGGTTAAATGGTTTAGCCAACGAGCTTGGGTTGGAAAGAAAATATCCGATCAAGCTATATTGTGATAACAAGGCTGCTCTTCAGATTGCAGCAAATCCAGTTTATCATGAGCGCACAAAGCATATAGAGATTGACTGCCACTTTGTAAGAGAGAAAATACAAGAAGGGCTTATCAAGACAGAATTTGTGTCTTTTTCAGAGCAATTAGCATATATATTTAATAAAGCTCTAGGTGCCAACAACATGAATATCTTGTATCCAAGTTGGGTGTAAAAGATATCTTCTACCCACCAACTTGAGGAGGAGTGTTAGAAGTTAAGTTTGTTATTTTCTGTTGTAATTGTAACTAATTGTCAGTTAGTTAGTTAGTTAGTTAGATTAAAACTGTATATATACTTGTATTGTGGATATATAAAGTGTCAAGGTGAGTGCAATACATGCATGATATGGTACATAGATGTTTTATACATCGTGTACGTAGATGTTTTATACATCATCTGGAAGACTTGCGATAAATCGACCTTGTTTTATCAACATGAGATTTGATATGGAAGTTATTTTGGGTATGAAATGCCCTAATGTTTATACATGGTTAGATGTTTCCATGGATGATTTAATTGATGAATATATGCCCAAATATGTTATTGAGGTTCAGTGGTATTAATGGAATGCCATAGAGTCTAGCAGTTGCAGAATTAAGTAGTACTATAGTGTCAAATAAGATGCATAGTACAAGTCAGGTGGGTAAAACCCGACCTCAGCACTACGGTGCATTATTAGGTGAGCAATGCTCGACCTCAGCACTTTTGTACAATATTTGACTCCTATATCGGGTTCCTCATAGATTGTGAATTGTGGGCAATATTTATGGATAAAAATGATTTTATTTATATTATGTTGATTTGATTTTTGACATGGAAATTCATGCATTAATTGTGTTGCACTGTTTATTGTTTTAAATTGCCTCACTAAGTATATACTTAGTGTGTGATGATTTTCACGCGTAGGTAAAAAGCCAGTAGTGGAATAAAGAGTTCAAGTTGACATCAAGCATCAAGGAGTGTATATTAATATCAATAAGACATCCTAAGATGTAATGTTTAAATTATTAGTGACATGTAATTATTAATGTTTTATTTGCTTTGTTGAACAAATTTGGAAACAAAATGGTAATTTTATGAGTTTTGTATATAATGCTGAAATTATTGTATTAGTTACTGTAGCAGTGAATAGTAATGAACACTAACCACGTTTGTTAAAAAATTTCCAATATGTTAAAGGGGCACCGATTCCCCCTACAGAAACTGATTCCCCCACTGTTCACTGTTAACTATTCATAAATAAAAAAATCTTTTGAATCAAATTTGTAATAACGAATTATAAATTATATGTTATGATATTTTTATAATATCAATTATCATTTTTAAAGAAAATAAATTTTTAAATCACTTTTGAATTGGAAAATGTATTTAGAAATTCGGGTGGCATCTATAATTTGTATAGGTATAATTATACGGATTATGGGAGTTACAGTTACTAATTGGATTCTCACTTTTTTCAAGGTGGTGAGAAGCTTGGTTACGAGACTGTAGCTCTTGTGATCTATGATGTTATAGGGTAATCGAACTTTTCAGTTTTCACTTTTTAACTCACAAGCTATTTCAGAATTGACTTGTTTTATGAGATGCACTATATATGTATTCATTAAGTATTGGAATGATCTTGCAGCTCTTACGTTTGAGGATAATAAAGTCGAAGCAGAAGCTAGGGGAGCAGTATATCTAAAAAAATAGAGACTTTCAAATTCAACTTCAAGATATGAAGAGGATGATATGGCAGAACCAAACGCAAAATCCACCACATTAGATGATTTCTTAGGTTCATATTTTATTTATTCTAATGAACAATATTAAATTATATTATACTTTACTTTAATGTTTCTTGTTATTGGATATTTTTTTTAATATATTTTTGTTGTTAAGTATTTCAACCTAATAAATATCGTAATTAAATTTGAAGTTTGTTGTGATTGGATAATGGTACATGATGTTAAATTTGAGTAGTACATAACCAAAAATAATATTCGCCAAATCAAATAACCTCGGCAGCATTTTATGAATAAAAACGCTACTACAAGTCACGATGTTTTGCGGCATTTTACGAAAAAAAACGCCACTAATAGAGCATGCATTTGTGGCGTTTGTGATGAAACATGCCACTACATACATACCCAGTAGCAGCGTTTGAATAAAAATGTCACTATATATATGTGGAGTTTGGGTAAAAAAAACACTATATATCATGACTCTTAGCAGCATTTGCATAAAAATGCCACTATATATCATAACTAATAGCAACATTTGTATGAAAATTGCCGCTAAAGATCTCAACATTTTGCAATATTTTGTGCTCACAAACGCCACCACTTGTTGTGATGTATTTTGTAGCGGCGCTTCTTGTGGTGCTATTACTGGAGCCGAGAGAGTTTTTAGTGGCAATTAAAAACGCGGTTAAAAGCCCAAAACAAATAGTCAATAGTGCTCACAAACGCCGTGACCTGTTGTGATGTATTTGAATAATTTTATCACCCATAATCGATAGTCACTCACTCACTCATAATTCATAAACAAATAGTAATGGCATATATTCCATTACCAAGGCCATTAAAACAATATATATTCAGGGTTTGGGTTGCTTTTCAAAATAATATCGACTTCAATGTTGGAATTTTAATTCTTTCCTCGTAATAAACGTGGTGTCAAAGGTCAAAAAATTAATCGTGGATCATGCCTGTGGGATCCGACTGCTTTTACTTTCTGTTAAAAAGTTTACTTGCTATTCACAATCATGAATAGAAAACAACCCTAAAAGGATTGTAAGGAATTACAAAGTAAAATTGGCCTCAATTATTTTTATCTATAACGCCTCCACTCTTCTTCTCAAACCAGGTATGAGAGTAATTGAGTAAACAAAAATTACTGCAACCCAAACTTCAAATGAATTCGAACTCGATCTAACTCGATTTGTATTCAAATTTAGAAACATTCATTTTATAACTACCATTTCTTGGTGAAGTATTGAAGGCCAAGAAGCTATAATGAAATCAAAAACCTACATAAGAAATGTCAAACCAGATTGGCTGCATCAGGCAAACCTTGATGATGATCACTTTCTCTAGCCGACGACGGCCGACGATAATTATTTGGCCTCTTAACGCCGACATTAGCCCGGCAAATTGGACAATTATCGTGATTGTTAAGCCACAAATCGATGCAAATAGCATGGAACGAGTGCTTGCAACCATTTAACTGCTTTACTTCTTCCCCGTCGGTAAACACAGATAAACAAACCGGGCATTCATTTCCGATATCTTTGGAATGCGTCTCTTTTATGTACTTATGACCCGAAACCGGTTCCCGTAGCTCGGTCACCTCGATAGAACTTCCACGGTTGTCCCTCGGAACCTCGGCGGAGCTGTCTGGACGACGTTGACCGGAAGACCAAGGAGGGCACTTGACGGCGAAGAAGAAAGCGTAGACTATAGCTGGGATCGTTATGACGGCCATAAGGGAAAGGATGAATTCGAGTGGAGATAAATCGACGCTTCTCGGTGCATCGGGGAACGGTGGCGGTGGATTGATGGTGACTATGGTGATGTTTCCGTTTTGATCTATGGGGTATATTTGGGGTGATGAGGTGAATGGCAACGGCGGAGGTGGGCTGAGGATCATAGTACTGTTAGTGGTGTTATCAGGCTGGGGAAGTGGAGGTGGTAACGACGGAAAGAAGGACGGTAACGGTGGCGGTGGCCTGATAACAGTAGGTGGGCTCTCCATGATGAGGGGAGAAAAAAAATACGATGGTAAAAGACTAAAGTTGAGTCTGCTAGTATATGTTTTTTATTTGAGCTGATGTAATTTTTTTTAATAATTTTCAAAAGCAATAATTGAGGGGAAAATGTGGGGCTGTGGTAGGGACAAGTTTCTCCTAACATCGTGAAAGCAACGCATGTTAGTATTATTTAAATTTGTATTTACATCAAATAATAATTAAAATAAAAATTTGAATACCATTTTTGTAAGTTCTTTATGTATACTTTTCCATAGTTTATGTTTGTTTTATGATTAGGATAGGTTCATGATTATTCATTTAACAATATTTCTTTTTTAAATTTAAAGTTTAGCAAATTACATTATATGTTCGTTTATTTTGTATCGTTTTACATCGGTCCAGATAGTTAGTGTTCATTGTTTCTTTTTTATTTTTATATCACATCCTTATTTTTCTTTGTTTTTTAGTTTTTACTAACTCTATCCTTATTTCACACTTTTATATGCCTTTTGACATATTTTCCTTTTTTATCGATATTTTTTTAAATTTAATGTTATCTCGATTGATAATGATGTTGCTTATTTATTCTTAATTGGTCTTACCTACTTTAGACCATTTGATTGAATTTGGATACATGATTTGTATTCTGAGATAGTTTTCTCACGATACTCGAGTCTGATTTATGATTCTCAGTGGTTTTTCAGTAATGATTCGTTTATTGATGCAATTAGATTTGTTTGTATTTATTTTTATTCAAGTTTTTTTATATGTTTTTAACATTTCTATTGTATGATCATTATATGATCTCAAATGACTAGTTTTTTTTTACCAATAGTTATAGAAAATGTTATAGTTATGTGTTTAGTTATGATTATAAAATTTTATTATAATTTTTAATATTTTTCTTTATTAGTAAAATTAATGTCTTTTATTTGCATAAAAAATATAAACCTCATGATTGATAAAAATATATTAAATAAATTTTGTAATACTCAAATTCGATCCAACCCGAAATCAAAAGATTTGGATATTACACGGAACCACCGAAGTGACTAACTATTTTTTCTTTAAAAATATTTTTTTATAAAAGTTTAAGGTTTACAAGTGGGGAGCTCCCGATCAACAATTCAAAATAACATCCAATTTTAAACAAAAGAGTTACGACTTAATTTTACAAAGGTCTATGAAATGCATGCTCTTTAAAATAATCGAGACGTATTTTGCAACTTATCAAAATCTACAATCCACAACCTGGCGATAAGCTCCTCAACCGACATCTACTGACATGCGAACAGAAACAAATTCCGGACTCTGAGCTAGGAGCTCAGTGCCATATAAATAACTTTACTATACTACATGTATCCATCAACTGTGTATACTAACAAGTGCAATCATGTGCCAATGAAATGCATCAAGCATGAGTCATAACAAAGTATCGACATAATCACATGTACTTGTATATCACTATACACACACACACACACACACACACACACACACACACACACACACACACACACACACACACACACACACACACACACATATATATATATATATATATATATATACATTTATCGTGGCCTTGCCAACAATTAATGGAAGTGTCTCAGCGCTGATACTAAAGTACATCAGTACAAAAACGAAAGTGTATTTGCATTGATAAAGAATATCTGGTTATTTCAATATATATAAGACGAAAGTCATACATTCAAGTAGTTCAGGTGCCCTCGTTGCACCCGAACTCCACACAAGGGTTTAAGTCTTATGAGCATTCCTTTACAACGTTTGTTGCTTATCATAAAACATTTGGGTATTCACTTTCGAGCTTATTAAAGAGGTTATGGAGATTCGAACCCATTTCTCAATCCTTAACAAAACTAGGCTCTTTTCCTAATTCAGCATGAGGGTATCGATATTGATCCCTTCAGTATCGATACAGTCCCTCCAGTATCGATATCCACCCTTAGTATCAATACCAATTTAGGCTACTGGAATTTGAGAAGGTATGACAATATCAATTTCTTACTTGGAGTATCAGTACCTCAGTGTTAGGTATCGATATCATCCCAATTATCGGTAATATTAGGTTCAATATTTTTCCTAGTCGTTGGATCACTTGATGTCTCTTGGATGTTTTCTAGCCATTGGATTAAGGGCCTAGGTCCAACGACCTCCATGCGACTACATGATAATTTGTGATGTTTAGGGTCTTGAAACCTTAGATGTTTGCAATCTGGCCCATTGATTTCCCTTTGATCGTGCGATCGTCAAATGTGCAGTGATGGTCCTAAGATAAGAAACCCTACTTTACGTCAGGCAAATTTGGGCTTCATTTGGACTCCTCTACAGGGCCTAGTGGGTGAGTCTACTGGGTTAAGCGAACTTCATCTACATGGGCTTCTTTCTTTGCTGGACCTTAACTTGGATTTGGACCTTAACTTAGATTTGGACTTTGACTTGGATTTGTATTCTTGGACCTCGTCTTAACTTTTGATTGGACCTAAAAAACAAAAATTAATAATACTGTAATAAATATATATACTACCTTTTATATGTATTATATTTTCAAACATATATATTTTTATATACACCATATAATACATATGTCTTCAAAATATACCATATAATTTATACATATTTATAATAATATATATACTATACATATATATATATTACAATAATACATATATGTTTTCAATATATATATATATATATATAGATATATAATATTTATATTCTAAAATAATACATATACTACTATAATATATATTAAAACAATACATATGTTACCTGTATATATATATATATATATATATATATATATATATATATATGTACCATTATAATATATGTACTATTATATATATTGCAAAATATTAGAGAATTCGTAAAATAATTCCGAACAAAAATAGATATATACGTTACAAATTTAAAATTTTAATACTTTTCCTCTGGTAAATCTTTTTTTTTTTTCTTATCAACCATTTTCCTATCATAAATCAATTAAGTAATAGTAGTTGTTTTTGGGGTAAACTACACATTTAGTACTTCAACTATTAATTTTATTTCATTTTAGTATCTAAACTTTCATTTGTTTCAAAATCATACTTAACATCTAGTATGTCGCTTTTGAAAACTTAACGTGTGAGTTTTACGTGGCACTAAGGATGGGCATGGGTCGGTCAGGTCGGATTTTTGATCCACCCAACCCGACCCAAAAATTATAAATTCTCTACCTGACCCGAATCCGACCCGAAAACTATACATCTTCCACCCGTCCCGAACCCGACCTATTTGTTGAGATAAAATATGAACCTAACCCGACCCGAAATAATATATTTATTAAAAAATATTATTTTTATTCAATAAAAATTGTGATTTAATTAAAAGAATATAATATATAGAGGGGTATTATTGTAATTATCCTTAAATATATAACGTAAACTTACAATTTTTTGGGTAGTCTGGGTTAGGTATTAAAAAAATCCGACCAGGTCGGGTCGGGTCGGAACCTATCACGTTCGGGTCCCATGCCCATCCCTATGTGGCACATTTTTCATGGCAAAAATTGTATCATTTATCACTCCACTATCTTCTAACTCCAATTTGGTCACCAAAGTTTTAAATGTTTTAATTTAATTACTTAACTTTCAAATTTTTCCTAATTTAATCACTCTAACTTTCAATTTTATTTTTTATTTTAATTATATATTAATAACATAATAAAAAATATCATGTCACCATAATTATTAATAAAATAATTTAAAGTTATTAAAATAGGAAAATTTGAAAGATAGTAGTTAAATTGAACATTTTTACACTTTAGCGACCAAAATAGGATTGAGAAGATAGTTGATTGATGAATGATGTAATTTACCATAAAATGCAATGTGTTGAAGAAAAAGTAAACATTAGGTATGATTTTGAAACAAATAAAAATTTAGGTATTGAAACAAGTTTACCCATTTAGCCTTTGTTTTATGCTTTGGAGTAACCCAAAGTCAAGACTAGATCAGTCTAGCACTTCGAAATCTAGGTCCAAATTGTTGTAACCAATCAACTAGGCCCAACTCGTAGTAGGTTCTCAAACCTCTGAAACTGAGAAATATGAATACTATCTTTATGGGTAATTTACATTTCGAGTCACCCCAATTTAACATCGAGCATCACGTAAGTTGGAAACTTTCAAATTTATCAAATTAGATTACCTACCTTCCATTTTATGCCTATTTCATGAAATCGTTGATAATAAAAGCATAATGATACAATTTGATGAAATTAAAGATTTGTTATATACATAAAAATTGACGCAAATACATGGACTTGGAATGCAATTTACACTAAATTCAGGGGATTGGGATGCAAATTACTTCTATCATCTTTTGTTATTGACAATCTATATAGTATATACCACTAATTTTTCTCATTCACAAGCCATCTCCCTCCCTCTGAGTCACTTCCAAGCAAACATGCAACCAATAATGAAAGGGTAGCTAAGCTAAACGCATTCAATCATTTCGGGAAAAAGAAGTTACTACTCGGAATCCGGCAATCTATCAAGCCCCGTATATAGCGTTCTACTAGAATCCGGCAAAGAAACAACCACCTCCCGTGGCGATGAAGTATCGGCACGGCAAAGCGGGCAATTCAAGTGCGAGTTAAGCCATTTATCAATACATCCCACATGGAAAAAATGCAAACATTCCGGTAAAACCCGGATTTGCTCACCTTCCTTGAAATCACCCAAGCAAATGGCACACATATCTTCGTTGCAATCTTTGTTGTATCGGAATATTGGAATCAACCTATGAATCGTGGAACCACTCCCGCTTCTTTGGCTTTCACGGAGCCTTTCATGTCGAGTTTGATGAACATTTCGACTGCTATTAGTACTTACCGTCTCCGTTGCCGGCCTACGGTAGCAATTGCAAATCGAGTGGATAAAGTGATAAGTAGCCACCACAATGGCTCCGGCAATGACTCCGAGAAGACCGATGAGAACCGGATTAAATCGTAAGGCACGGCCTCCATTGTCTCCGTCCGGGCTCAGGCGTGGCATCTGTGAGATTGGTGGAGATTGCTAGGCGGGAGTTGAGGTTATATATGGTAAAACTTGTCATGCATAGTGAAGAAGAAAGACGAATGGTAACAAGATAAAGGCTTTACTTTCACTATCATATGTAACCGTAAACGTGGGTGGCACGGTCATGGAAGGCGAAAACAACCACTTTTCCGTTCAAAAAATTGGTGGGAACGCCGTGTGGTCTTAACCTATTGTATGTCGTCAAATCAGTGATCTTCGTAGATTTTAGGTAATTTAATTGACCGTCAACTTTTTATTATTATTATTTATTTCCAAGTTGTCGTAACCGGTTTTCGTCCGGGCACGAAATATTTATTTGGCGGGAAAATTGATGTGAATAAATGGTTTTTTAAAAATAATTTGGGAGTCGCCATCGGCCTTTTGAGTCAGGTAGGTCGAATACCTAAAAATTATTTTTTAAAAGAGTTTTAAGAAAACATTAATTAAAAATGAACTGATCTGCGTTTATAACCAAAAATTCGTTCTTTTTTTAAAAATAAAAAGGGATTCGTGGTCGGTTACGTTTAGGAAAGGATTAGCACCCCTACAACGCCCAAAATTGGTACTTTTTAATTATAAATTGTCTCTATTATTAAAAATAAAAAAATTCAAAATATATTTAATTTATAATCCTATTATTTCAAAATTATAAAAAAAATATTTATAAATATCGGGAAAGGACTTCTAGGTGCCTTAAGACAGCTCTTTTCTTTGATATTGATAAATATTAATTTAAATAATATTGTTTAATTTTAAAATACCAGAATAGGACATCCAGTTGTATTAAGACTGTCCTTTTCTTCGATATTAAAAATAAATATTAAAAAATTTTAATTACTATTTATTATATATATATTTATGAATACATAAAAATATTTAAAAATATAAACAAATAAAATTAAAACAATAAAAATACAACTAGAACGATATATTTAAAATCAGTAAAATAAATGAAAACATTTAAAATAAATGACTAAATTATAGTAAAAATAAAATTAAAAACCTAATTCATAATTAATCAGAATTACAGGGATTAAACATGCTATTTTCTTATTTAATAATTTAGTAACTAAAATAAACTTATTTAAAATTCGAATATAAGATTATAAAATTAAAAATATAAACTAGGGATTAAAATATTATTTATTAAAATTAAGGGATTAATTATGTTATTTATCCTAAATATATTATTTTAATATAAAGGACTAAAATAAATGAAATTAAAATTTCGAGATCAAATTAAAAGTATTATGAATTCGATTTAGTGACTAAAATGTAAGGTTTACAAGTTCAGAGGATCGCGGAAGGGATTTAACTATTTTTCAATTACACGCATAGTCCTTCCCGAAACGACGTCGTTCGGGAAGGCCTATATAATGCCCAAGACAGCCGGCCCTTCGGGCCATCTATTTCATTTTTCAAATTTCATTCTCTCTCTAGCTGAGAGAGAATGAACAAAGCTCTCTCTTCTCTCTAGCTTCCCTCACCGGAGGGAAGCTGGTCACCGGACGGCAACCGTCTGCCGCCGTGACCCTCACCGCCGGCCACCGCATCCGGTGGCCGAAAAATTTTTTTTTACACTAATGGGTAGATCGGACCGTCCTAAGGACGGTTCCGGTGTTACTTTTTCCTAAATATCCCCCGATCGGAGCAAATCTAAAGAAATACCTTCGGTTTTTCGAAGGTTTTTGTGAAATTTGAAGCGGTCCGGTGGCTTCCTCGGTAAGCTTCTCTTCTTCCTTTTTCTTTCTTTTCTGTTTTTTTGCTGCGTTGTTGTTGAGATCGTTGGTAGTATTTTGTTTCTCTGTATTTCTCTTTTCTCTGTATATTTTCTGTCTCTTTTTGTCTCTGTCTCTGTCCTTTTTTTTTTCTTGCAGGTTCGGGTGGTGGCTTTTATAGCCACCACTGGTGTGGTCATCGGACCGGTCCGAAGAGTGAGTTTCGGTGAGTCACCGGACTTCCAGTGGTGACTCACCATTTGGGAAATACGTGTGCGGCTACGGCCGACCTTCTGGTGCCTTCGGTTGGGACGTGGCAGCGCTGGAGGCAGAGGCGGCTAGGGATTAGGGTTAGGAAACCCTAACTGAAACCCTAAATATTTAGGGTTTCAGTTTGGGTTTTGGGCCGGTTAACTGGGCTTGTAATTTAATATTATTTATATATGTATTTAATATATTTAATAATAATAATAATAATGATAATAATAATAATAATAATAATATTAATAATTATAGTAATAATAATAATTATAATAATAATAATATTTATAATATGGGTAAAAAATTAGTATCTTCAGCTGCCCCTCTTTGCTCATTCTTGTGTTAACAAGAATAGGGCAAAGATGAAAAGATAATAAAATTTTTTATCCATTTGGCTTCACTTGATCATAATGGAGATATTGAATAAATTCTTCTCTTTCTTCAGATGAGTTCTTCTCATTATGAACTTTCTGCTGGGGATGATGTTGACCTTTTTCTTTCTGTGATAGAGTCATTCAAAAGGTTGACTAAGCTCTTGATGAGTTCTTTTCATTATGAACTTTCTCTAGAAAGGCTGATGTTAATCTATCTCCTTCTGTGATAGAATTATGCAAAAAGTTGAACAAGTTCTTCTTATTATGAACTTCTCTGGAAATGCTGATCCATCAATTGATGAATTCATGTAAAAGGTTGAACAAGTTCTTCTCATTATGAACTTCTTCTTCCTTCTTCAGATGAGTTCTTCTCATTATGAACTTTCTCTGGAAAAGCTGATCCATCAAATGATGGATTTGAGCAAAAGGTTGAATAAGCTCTTCTCATTATGAACTTTTTCTTCCTTCTTCAGATGAGTTCTTCTCATTATGAACTTTCTCTGGAAAAGCTGATCCATCAAATGATGGATTCATGTAAAAGGTTGAAAAAGTTCTTCTCATTATGAACTTCTTCTTCCTTCTTCAGATGAGTTCTTCTCATTATGAACTTTTTCTTCCTTCTTCAGATGAGTTCTTCTCATTATGAACTTTCTCTGGAAAAGCTGATCCATCAAATGATGGATTCATGTAAAAGGTTGAACAAGCTCTTCTCATTATGAACTTCTTCTTCCTTCTTCAGATGAGTTCTTCTCATTATGAACTCTACCTGACAATGTCAATCCATCAAATGATAGATTTGAGTCTTTGCTAAAATCTTTGAAATTCCTGTTAAAAATTCAACAAGAATAAAAATGAATGAAAATGCATCTATTTTTGCAAATGCCTAAATATGATGCATGAATGTTAAGTTATTTCATTTCAGATTGGTAAATTGAGTATTTCTTCAGTTGTAGAAACCCAATAAATCTTTCTTCTTCAAATCAGAGAATCTATCCTCTTTGACAAATGTAGAGGTAGATATAATGTCACAAAACCTCTTGAGAATAAAACTCAATAGTATAGGCTCTTGAACAGCTTGCCTTCATGTGACATGTTGATTCTGATAACAACTCATCTGATTATGAAATGTCCTTTCAAGATGATTTCACAGATATCGATAGTTCTTTTAATACCAAGAAATCTTGAATTCTGATTCTGATGAGGAGAATAAACTGTTATACTTGACAAAAATGGGATTCTCAGAGGCTGAAGCTTCAATAGCCATGGAGATATGTGGTCCAGATTCATCAATTGCAGAATTGATAGATTTTATATGTGCTGTTCAAATGACTAAGGATGCTGACGCACTTCTTCCGGTAAGATGGGAAGCCATTATGTGATGATCACAATTACAAGAAAAGGCGAAACTTGTGCTATGATTTTTGGGAAAAGAATAAGCAAAAGAAGCTTGAAAAGAAGCTTCTTAATGAAGATGATCATGCAGTTCATCTTTCAATTCCAATGATCAGTTCTGGGGTTCCTACCGAATCAGATCAAATAACTCAAAGAACACTTCCAGAAGATGCTATTAGCAAATTCATCTTTTAAATTCAATGATTGGTTCAGCCAAACCAGATCAGATAACTCAAAGAACACTTCCAGAAGATGCTATGAACACATTCATCTTCTAAATTCAATGATTTGTTCTGCCAAACCAGATCAGATAACTCAAAGAACACTTCCAGAAGATGCTATTGGCACATTCATCTTCTAAATTCAATGATTTGTTCTGCCAAACCAGATCAGATAACTCAAAGAACACTTCCAGAAGATGCTATTGGCACATTCATCTTCTAAATTCAATGATTTGTTCTGCCAAACCAGATCAGATAACTCAAAGAACACTTCCAGAAGATGCTATGAACACATTCATCTTTTAAATTCAATGATTTGTTCTGCCAAACCAGATCAGATAACTCAAAGAACACTTCCAGAAGATGCTATTGGCAAATTCATCTTTTAGTTAATGTTTGGACTAGGATATCACAATACTTATTTGATGTAGAGCCAGAATTTGTAGATTCGAAGCATTTCCATGCTACTATACTAAAAAGGGCTATATTCATAATTCTGCCAATTAAGAACAGATTCTCTCTTATTCTGCTTCCTCCATGTGCTGATGCTTTTCTATTGACAAAGAAATGATGGCTTTCATGTGATCCAAGAATAAAGTTGAACTGTTTATAAACATGTACATGAAGTGCCAAATTGACAGAAAGGATCTGTAAGGCTCTTGAAGCTTATGACAATGAGCCACCTTTGAGTATCCAGAAGTATGTTCTTGATGATTGCTGAAAATGGAATCTAGTATGGGTTGGAAGGAATAAAGTTGCTCCACTTGAACCTGATGAGGTGGAAATACTTCTAGGTTTCCTTAAAAACCATACACAAGGATCTGTATAGAGACATGTTTCCCAGTGATATCAATGTCTTGTTTCTTTTTGATGGAATCAGTGCTGCAAAGATCGCCTTCTACTGTCTTAATATATCTTTGAAAACAGAGGTGCAAGAACTGAATGGTGATCAGTTGGAGCAATTGATGAGTAGATTTGGCGGATTCGACCTTGTTGTCGGTAGCATCCCG